GGAACTAAACTTGCTGCAGAAAATTATATTACAGACAAAAGCAATATTTAGGCTATAAGAAACAGGCTAGTGGAGTTGTGCGGTTTACAGAGAACATTGCGAGTTATCTGGTTGTTTGATCTTCTGCCTTCCCTGTCGTTATGGGTACCGTCACACCATACAGCATGTTCTCGAGTCTTGCACTAGAAGGCCTTTGAGGTGTCTGCAGTGATAAGGTTAATTTGCTTCAGGAATGCCGCGCATACACTGAAGTCCGTTCACAGTGACATCAAGGTTCTCCCCTTCACAAATATAGGCTCCCTAAATATCCTCACTCCGCCAGTGTAGTGGGTCTACCAGGTGGGAGAAACGAACTGTTTCAACAATATTTTATACAAACTCCAGCCACGAACACGGCGGTTAGCTTCAGAAAACTACCCTTCAGCTTTCAGAACTTGCTATATAAAAAAACCACCCCCTTCTCGTTAAAACCCATGCTGCCTTCAATGTAAATGAGCGACCGCTCACAACCAACATGGTGGCCCGTCAAGTATGGCAGCCGTTTTAGCTAGTTGTAAGCAACCATGATCGAAGTTGTCACCACCCTAAAGCACGGAGACGCGCGCACATGAAGGCTCCCTAGCCACTGCCATTAGATAATAATGATGGACCACAAGTTCACTAAGTTGCGTAAAATGCCTTCGTGCTTAACTGAACTGTGCGCATTAAAATTTGTTAAAAGTGTGTGATATCCCACTGCTGTAATGAACGTTGGCGTCAAGTGAAAGTTATCTTGCACGGTGAAAACAGTGTGGGGATCTGAGGCGCGCCCGCGACCATTTCGCGGGCATTCCGCCACATGGCCACACCCTTTTTGCTTTCCTGCTCTGTTAACACCACGTGGCGATAGATGGCGCCACGTGCGGGCACGGCACGCGGTTCGCGCGCGCCGAGGGAGCTCTCCCTTTTCCGTGGTCGGTGCCGGGTAAGCACGTGTTTTCCTTCGTCCGCGTCCCTTTGGGACTCGCGGACTGTAGCCTGCCTCGAGTGCCTCGAGTGTTTACTCGAGTGCTGGCTTCGGTAGCGTACGCTAAGCCCAGAGCGGTGCCTAGTGCTTGAAGTGGTCGTACCACAACGAGCCGCACTTGCCGTAGGCCTACGCGTACGAGGTTTGCCCTAACACTCGCGACCAGGCCCATTGGCCATCGTGAGAGTGTGCAGCATAGCCGCGAGGGACCTTTTCCCGACTGGCGTGTCAAAGCTCGCCATTGCCAGCTGCGACGTGCTCGTGGTTTTCCCCTTATTGTGAACGTCCGCGTGCGGGTGCCTTTGCTACCCGCGTCCCGGGAGCGGACGTTGTACTGTTGTTCGGGGTGCCGCCAGAGGCAATAAAGTGTTGTGTACTTTTGCATTAGAACACTGTCTATTTGCCGCGCCGCCCTAAACGCCTTATTAGTTGAGAGCGCGTGGAGCTGTGCACTACACGCGAGTACCATATTTACTCGATTCTACCGCGCCCTCGATTGTAACGCGCACCCGATTTCCACCGCGGAAAAAAAAAAAAAAAAGTAACACATCGATTGCAACGCGCACCCATTTTTCTCGCTGGCCCGCACGATCACACCACTCGAAAAAACGACTCCTTTCGGGAGCGTCTTCCATTTAAATATGAGGTACGGGCGAAGCTTGTGCCCATCTGACGTGTAACAGAGCATTGCCGTCACTGTAGCTTTACCATGGACCGATGTCAGCACGCGAACTTGCTTCGCCTCCTTCTTCTCGACGGTTGTGGTGCCAGGCATGTCGAAGTAAAGAGGCGTCTGATCGGCATTCCCAATTTGCCCAAGCAGGTAGCCGTTGTTGCGCCGCAAGTTTAGGACGAACCTCTGGAAACTGTGAAGCTTTTCATCGTACTTCTCCGCAAAACCTTTCGCATATGCATGTTCCCCTTCGGAGGGAAAAGCCTTTCCTCTTCATAAAGTTAGTTAGCCAGCACCTGCTCGCTTTAAACTGGCTCCGCATTAGACCTTTTTCTAAGACTAATTGCATAGCCCGCACTTGGTGCAGTTCTGTCGTCACGGGCCGCTGTGCCGCTCGCTGCTCAAGCACATACTCACCGAGCAGCTCTTTAATTTGCAGAAACCGACCCTGCTGTGGTCCACTGAAGCCTTTGCAGGAAGCTTTGCTGTCGACAATCTTTTGCTTTTGTTTCCGCCGGTCCCGCACGCACGTTTCGCGAACTCCGAACGCCCGCGATGCGGCCCGATTTCCATCCGTTTCTGCACGCGCGATGACTTTTCTTCTAAAAGCGGCATCGTGGTGCACTCGAGTTTTTGGAGTCTGCCCTTCCACGACGTTAATGCTAATGCACTACTAGATGACGAACTCCTCAGCACACGTACGAAGTGCCGCACATGGGAAACACATAGGCAGAAATGGCCGACGCGCCATGCCGACGCACACGAAGGAAGGGAAGGTGCCGACACACGTAGGGGGCGGCCATTTTGGATTTGCCGATGGCAATAGATTGACCGTAATTGTTTTGTTCGTACTCGATTCTAATGCGCATGCGATTTATGAACTCGCTTAACCAGAAAAAGGGTGCGCGTTAGATTCGAGTAATCACGGTAAACGGAGTAGCGGCCCTGTGGCTCGCTAAGCGTGAACCCGCGGTGATCGTCCGCTGCAGTTAGTAGCGGGGTCACCATAACAGCTGCATAGCGCCCTTATGCGTGCTCACTCTTGTGACCGCTAGTTGGACAATCAAGGCAGCAGAGCAGCTGCGCACCAAGCAGGAAAAGTTCCACAGAACGAAAACATGATAATATCAGTATGTTAGAAATGAGCTTTTGGACCAGCAGAAGCTACTCTGGACAGAGTTTCTCTAAATAACGGCCCTAAGTACGTGCACAATCGAGGCGTAGGCTGAAGTGCATGAACTGCCAGGAGAAAAAATTTTCCATTTCAAGAAGACATCCTGTCTCAATATATACTAATCAACCTAGAGGAACGCAAGTTCATATTTTGCACTCATGAGTATTTGATCAACGTTCGTTGCAAGTAAAGGTGTTTTTTTTTTAGTTCAGAGGAAATCGGAAAGTTGTTATGAGATGCGAGTTCGGCATAAAACTACATCACATAATCAAGGTTTATAACACATTAACTATTGTTATTTTGCTGGGACCAAACCAATTCGTCGCAAAAAAAAAGGGTCATCGTCACACCCCCACTTAAGTCATTTTAATGACTTAAGTGGGGGTGTGTTTATTATGCGAGTGTGTTCATTACGCGAGTAAATACGGTATTAAAGAATTTGAATACTGTACACAAAGCTCGTGGGCATTGCGGGAGTAGCGTTAGCGTTCGTCACTCAACGGGAGCCCGCAAAAGGTTAGGGTATGACGTCAACTTTGAGCTGATGGCCATCTAACACAAAATTGTCAGCATTGCCTTCTGACAAAATAAAGTTTACCACCCTTCCCAGTCTTAGGCACACAAAAGGCACAACTCGTCTTGGTGGCTTTCAGCTGCTCGTGCCGCCATCGCCAGTAGCGAACACAAAACTCGTCGGCTCGAAGTGTCCACCGGCGGCCCTGTTGCCGTTGTTTAGTGCACGATCAATCACCTTCAACTTGAAAGCAGCCGTGTTGCTTCCATATCAGCCCTTAGAATAACCACAGAACGGACACATTGCGCACTAACACGCCACAATTCACACTTGCCACTTTGGCATGGCTTAAATTGAGCCTCCGTGCACAGATGGCGTCAGGTGGCACGCGCTATCATCAGTGATTGGGACAAGCAGACGAATTTACTGCTGCGATTTTGGGGGGTGCGATAATTACTCAAGGAAAAAGAATCTTACTTTTGTTGGGCGATGCGGGAGGTGTGAAAATTATGAGAGTTCAAGGATTACATGAGTACAGTCGCCGACCGATTTTTCGGACCTGGCGGGGACCGAAAAAAAGTACGAAAAATCGAACAGTCCGAAAAATTCGTTTTCGCCAAAAATCTGAAGTTTATTGCATCAGGCAGGTTTAAAAAAGTCCTTGATGCTGCCTTGCCTCAAACTACGCTTGGAGGCAATTTGGTTTGCCCGTATTTGCGCCAAGGTGACATCGTCGCCGTAAACGCTCGACAAAATTGTCACCACGCCATTGTCACCATTGTCAAAATTGTCACCACGCCAAATTGTCAAACGCTCGACAAATTGTCAATTGGCGATCTCCGACGGCTGCGGGCGGTCGTCGTTGTCATCCGACGACAACGACGACCGCCATCCGGCGTCGACCGTCATCCAGCGATATCTAGCTGCGAACGTCCACTCTCTATTAGCTTGATTATGGCAGCTTTCTTCTCCATCGTCAGGGTCGTATACTTCCCACGCTTCTTCACACCACCTGGCTCCCGCGATGGCACAGATAGCGGAGCCATGGCACCGAGAACACAAAATTCGATGCCGCTGCGAAGCACACAACGTCTCGACACTACGCGACACAACACGTGCAGAATGGCGACTGAAAAAAGCTGCAACGACAATAAAAGAATCCTTCTTTCGCCTCCTCCCCGTGCGATGTGATGACGATAGTGCTGACCGAAGATGAAAAAACGGCGTCCATTACCGCGTCTTTTAAAAAGCAAACACGGCCTCCGAAACTTAAAACATGGCGTGCGCATTCCAATCTCGGAGGCAGGAAAGGCATTTGAAGACCAAGCTTAGCCAAGCCGACAGAAAATCCAACATGGCGGCGTTCACAATGGCTTGGAGCGTGGATCAAAACGGGCGATTTAGTCCGAAAAATCGAACTTTCAGGGGCAAATTCGCCCGAAAAATCGGTCGAAACAATGCATTAGCTCTATGGAATCCCTGACGGTGCATTTATGAAGTCCGGAATATCCAACAAGTCCGAATTTTTGGAGTCCGGAAAATCGGTCGGCGACTGTAAATACGGCATAATCGAAGTTCCACTGCAACCGAGTAAATACGAAAAAGAAAAATTTTACAGGCGCTTTCCACTAACCAGTGAGGAAGCACAGCTCTGGAATGAGGTACAGGTTGTCTGTGCGGCCAACCCTAATGTCGCGTTCTCTTGGACGACACACGAGCAGAGGCTGATTGAGGTCCCTGATGTCCTTTTGGTAGTGCTGCACATGGAGAAGACATGCATGAGATGGCAAAATCCGGGCTTACAGCAGAGCGCACTGCATGCTACAGGTTTTGGACAATACTCGTCGACGTAAACTGGTCACTAGAGGTGTTGCTAGATGCCTAATACCCGTCTGCCAATACAGTTGCAACCCTTTGAGGGAGGCATGCACCTTGGAGCAGTTCCTTGTCCCTTACAAGAGGGATGGTACCATGGTAGCATGGTACCATGTTCTTATTTTCTGATCAGCACCTTTTTTTTTTATGTAGATGCACTGGTGTACCTCACACCCAATTGTCTCTTACATTTGCCTGTGATGCACCCCTTCCATTTAAGTCTTCGAACAGTTTTTTCGTTACAATGATTACATTAGTGCAGAGGTTCTCAGCCATGGATGTGTCGGGGACCCCTTGTGGACTGGTGAAAGTAATGGGGGACCCTTTGCAGCGAAAGGGAGGGGGTGAGGGGGGATACGTAGGTAAATTAACACTACTGGAGCGTGAAACAGGAGCCTTTCATTGCTACCGAAAATATCAATAAACATGCCACATTGCTTCACTTTAGACAGTTGATCAATATGTCGCACAGTTCCGCTTAAAGAAAAGTAAGTGTTTCGCGGATCATAGAAATAGCTTCGCGGACCCACGTTTGAGAACCACTGCATTAGTGCATTACAAAAGCATTCAGTGCACCACCTAAGCACGTGAAGGGAACAAGTTGAAAGAATCCTTAGCCATTTTCTTGTAGAGCAATATTATCTTCTAGAGACATTATTTTAGAATAAGCAAAGTCCGTAGATGACAAATTTTCATGTAGTTTTTGCACACAGTACATTGTTCAATTTATGATCAACAAGCATAATTATTATTATGCTTTTTTTTTTTGTAAATGCAATGAAGTGGGGCCAAGAAACCTGCAACAATCAATTGGCAAGTTGCTGGAAAAGATTCTGTTTCACCACACGGCTTTGTTATAACACAATTCAACAGCTCACAGCTTACCGATGCCGCACAAAAACAGCATTCACTTACGTCCTTGTAGTACTTTATATAGGTGATTGGGCCCTCCTTCGTGTCGAAGGTCTGCTGTGGGTTCTTTGTCCAGTCAATATCATCCACTCGGTATGTCCTGTTGTTGTATCTGCACAGGGACACAAAGCGACAGGATGGGCACAAAGCAGCACGCTACCAGAAGCAACACCGCCAGAGGGTGTTTTCTCTAATCTAGTGCTACGGGACAAGAAGGTCACCTCGTCATGACGATGCAGCCGACCACAGCCTTGACGGCTTCGTCCTTGTAGTTGCCGCGAGCGTTCTGTTGCAGCGAGCCGAGAAGGTGGAGAACGTTCTCCGTGCGAAGCACCTTGTGCACAGTGTCAACTACCATGAGGATGCCACCGTCGTGCTGACCGACCGCAGTGGTCAGACCTTCCCAAACTTCCAGCCTGCGCGATTGAGCCACAGCCACAAGCTTTAGGTAAACACTACAGCCACATTGATTATGATATACAAGGAAGGGGTATCTATCTCTCTATCTCTCGGGCCGTGGACAGCACGAGAGTGCGACTGCAGGCCAAGAAAAAAACCCCAAGTTTCTTCACAGCATCACAGAACAGTATTTTAAGCCAGTTTCCCTCATTTACAACCTTTTTCATGATCTTGATCGACAGAACCTCTAGTATCATGCTATACACGGTACTCAAAAATTGAAGCATATTATATTTATTAGTATAATAAGTACTATTAGAGAGTGCTCGTGATAGTCGCATCATATTGCTTTATGTCTGGCTGCTAAATGTAACGCTGGCTCTGATGCAAGGGTTAACGCAAAAAAATTATGCCAATATAGCAAAGTGTAGACGCTGGAAATGAAAGTATGTGCACTACTTATCCCTATATTACAGGCTTCTGCTAATACAGTCGAATCTCGTTAATTCAAACACGCTTAATTCAAACTTCCGGCTAATTCTAACTCACGATGAGGTCCCGTCAAAGTTATGTGTATTCCAATGGGCAAAAACGCCCGGCAATTCAAATGCACAAGCACTTGTGACTGTTAATTCGAACATACCGCGCTCCGAAAATGCTCTCAGCATCCCGCCCAATCCCGCGGCGGCACCTGCAATACCTCAACACTGCGTGCGAAGGAAATTAAAAGGAAAGAAAAGGCTGCGGTGGAATGTTTGCTCTCTCCTAAAAGCCGATCTTCGACTTGCCCGTGTCACGCTTCTCCCTCTTCCGTCCTTGCCACGTAAAGACCCTTCTACTTCCAACGCCGCACGCGGAGACAAGAAAAAAAGAAAGCTGTCGCTGGATTGAATGAATGTGGGGTTGAAGGAAAGGAAAAAGACACTATCTTCTGCAGCCCTTGACCCTTGCGGGAGCACAGCTCTGCGCCTTGCGGGGGAGAAGGGGTCTCTCACGTGCAGATGCCACGCTTCCCCTTTCCCTTCCCTGCCACGTAACCCTTCTCCTTTCATCGCATGCGAAGAGAGCAAAAAAAAAAAAAAGCTGCCATGGAGTGTTCGATTTATCTAAAATGCCGATCTGCTTCTCTCCGTGTCATGGAGACGCTCCTCCTTTCTACGCAGTCGTCGTCTTTAGACAGTGTCGGCACTGGACAATTCCGCATGCAACTTCTTTTGCCAGGAGAATGCTGAAATCGAAGTAGAAATGCACTGCAAGCTGAGTGCGAAATTGATTGACTCGCAGAAAGGCAAACGTGTGCAGACTTGCATCACCGATTACTTCAATTATTAACGAATGTCCTGCGATTTGTGAATAAATGTCTTTTCAAACTTCCTCCTCGTGTGTTAGCTCAATGCACATGTGCCACTACAAGCCCTCCCGTTTATTTAGCTTTCATTAATTCAAACTTCTTTTAATTCGAACAAATTTTCGGGCCCCTTTGAGTTTGAATTATCGAGATTCGACTGTAGTATGTACGACATATTATAAAAAAATGGGCATATTTGTCATGATCTAAGATGCCCAATAATCTTTTTTCAATTGAAAAAAAAAAATGCAAATGCCATTTTTTCGGGGGGGTTCAAAGAAAGTGGACACAACTTTGAATAGTAGGAGGATTTGACTTTTAGTCATATGCAATGTTTTAAAATTTACTATACTTAGAGCATATCAGCCTGTAGAACAAGCTTTAAACTTTAAAAAATGACCAATTCAGCTTAGGGTAATGTGTTCATTTAACTATGAAGTAGAGCTTCGCGGCAGTGCAAGTTTCTCCTGTATGGATGTTTTCACAGCTTAGCACCCCTTTCATGCAGTAAAACCACCTTTACAAAAAGTTACTTGCAGACTAATACTGTATTACTCGATGATAAACACACTTTTTTTTTTTTCAGGAAATTTCCCACCACTTTGGGGGCAGGATTCATTATGCGGGAGAAAAAAGTCACGTGAGTTACAAAAATGAAAATTTTGAGTGAAGGCATTGCTTGTTTAGGTCCGTGAAACGCGGGACAAATATTTTATGTAGCCCGAAGCTTTTTTTGTTTCCTCCCGTAATGAAGGTGTACGGATCAACACCGAAGTGTCGTCCAGCCGCTTGGTTCCAACGCTCCAGCACATGCTGTTTGTAACCAGCCGTGTAGCTAAAGGACCGGCCGAACGCGCCCTGCACAGCAGGTGTCAACTAAGTTCACAATGAGCAACCCTGGCAACAAAAAGTCACAGTTTCACCGCAAGGGCAAAGCAATGAATGCGATAGCAACAACTTAGAATGTGACGCTAAGAACAGCTAGCAGATCGAAACGTGCAGCGCGCTGTTCATGCACACATGACTCACGAAAACAACACACACAGGACGAGAGCGGAGCAAACTAACATTTACCACTCAACTCATAATGCGCTGTTTAAGCAAAAACGACGCACTAAACGTAATCACAGGTACAGATGAGCGCGCTCTTTTCGCAAACGTGGCCTCTCCAGCGAGCAAAGCGGCCTATGTGCGCCCGACAACTCAACGCAATCGCTCCGGTCAAAGCCAAGGCACGCAATTTTTACGTATATAGATAAGTATACATATACGGTGAGTGACTTCGTCATCGGCAGCAAAACTCAACCGAAAGAGCCCATAAAATTGCTATCGCAATAGAACGCAGCGTCGGACGGCGATGCACAAATATTGCGGGTGCACAACGTGTGTCGGCACGATGGGTGCCGGTTGCGCTTTGCATGGCCTTCCGAGATAGTTAGCGCGCGGCGTGTTTCTATGCCGCGCGCATGCCAGTTTGAAAGCCATGCGCTTTGTGTTTGTGCCTCTGTGCTTGCGTGGCGATATTAGTAAAAAGGTTTCTCTTGCATTCGACAGATGGCGCTTTGCCATAAAAGGTGCAACTTTCATTCAAATTTTGATTGACGCCATCCGCACTTGTTCTGCTCGCACTGTTTAGCATGGTTGCAAAACTATGTTCCGACTTCTAATGTGTTGTTAATTTGTGATATAATGGCTTGATTTAATGTTGTTTTGATTGTCAACAGCACTGGCTATCATACCGAAATGAAATGAAAAGATACATTACAAATTTGTGTCTTTCTTTTCCTTTTGCAAGGCCAAGGTGGCGAGCGGGTTCATTACGCGAGTAAACACTGTACACATTTATTCGTTCATTGCGAATACTCTCAAATTTAAATTTAAATTCTAATCGAAGTGAATACAAATACTGTACTATTATACTGAATATTCGCACAAGCCGACTAACATGTCAAAGTGCACCCTTTTCCCAAGTTTCTTTCATCCACGTAAAAAAAGGCAACGGACATTTTTAAACTGCAGTGACTAATGAATCATGCATCCATTACATGCAAAATTGGCCTCCGCAAAGTGTGCAAGTTTCGCCGACTTAGCGAGTCGACTGGTACAAGAGAGGGCATATCAGAAACATAGCTAGCACTGAAACAATTTGGGGCGGCCCTCGCAAGCACCATTTCAACTACAGAATTCTGATCTGCATGTACAGTAGACCATGCCACGGTCTGTCACGCACGCCTACTCGCTAAACCAGTGTTGCTCAGCTGACAAGTTTTTAAGCACCACTTCCACGACGCACATAGTGCATGGAAGTTCCTGTGAAACCATTTGGTTCAACACCCACCAGCATTACCGGTGCATAAGTACTAAAACATGGCCCAGAATACGCCTTAGTTGGCAAATGCAATTAGGACGACATCCAAAGCACATGAGTGTGCATGAGCAGGCAAATGCGCAGACCAGAATCACTCAACATTTTCAATTACAACTCAATGAAGTGCAATGCAGACAGATCAGTGCTGTCCTAGACTGGATAAACCGTCAGCGGCTGTACTGCAGGAAGTGTAGCCAACTTGTACAGCAGTTCTAGAACCTGATTCGCATACATCACTGCCAGATGAAGACCGAGCTCCTTGTTACATTTAGAGCTGCACTTGCATCACCCAACTAAGCTAAACTACAGTAGACTCCTTTCAAATGAAAGCTGAAGGGACCAGAAAAATGTGTTTCTTTTGAGAGGAGTTTCGTTTACTGAGAGATAATATTTATTTATTTATTTATTTATCGATACTGCAGGCCAATATGCTGGCCCATGCAGGAGGGGCAAATACAATAATACAATGACAAGGCATTCACAAAAAGACTAACAATGCAAGACGAAAAACGAAAAGTGCAAGACGCTTGCTTCGCAAAACAATTTACACAAGTGATAGCAACAAAAAAAAAATCTTAAGACAATAACAGAGCACTACACACAGTATGGAATTCACGACACAATTGTAAGAAATGTTTAAACACTGATCATATTTATACTAAATATTAAGAGAAGTGGTTTTCCGATTCTTTTGTAAAGTTTTCGGATTGTGTGACGTGAACAGGTAAAGAGTTCCATTCTTTTAGCGCGGAAAAAAACTATTCATGTGAGATTTGGTTTTGGCAAATATAGGCGTGAAAGAAAAGCTGTGTCTGTGTGTAGTCAACCGCATGTTTAGGGGTACTAAAAAGCGAGGCTTCTGAAGGCCAATTTTCCCTTTTATTATATTGTGCAAGAACTGTAGGCGACTAAGTTTACGGTGATGTTCTAGTGAACTTATTTTATTTGTAAGCATTAGAAGTGAAGGAAAATGTTCTCTTTTGTATTTTCCAAAAATAACAGCCTTCCTCTGCACACGCTCCAAATTTATGATGTCTTTTTTTGGTGTGAGGATCCCACACAAGCGCTGCATATTCAAGTTCTGAGCGCACAATTGCGTTGTATGCCAAAAGCTTTGTACTCGTCTGAGCTTTGCTAAGCTTTCTTTTCAAAAACCACAATATGCGCAAGGCCGAAGAGCATTTAAGAGATATATGATCTGACCAAGTAAGTTTGTTATTAAACGTGACGCCTAAGTATTTATACTGGTCAACCTTGGTTATTCCGGTGTCGTTAAGAACGTAAGAAAATATGCTAGGTTTTTTTTTTTCCTTGTTACTCGCATCAAAACTGTTTTTTGTACAATTATTTCCATTCCCCAAAGTCTACACCACTCAAATAGCTGCGACTGATTGCTGCAAGCTTTGGTGATCATTCTGCGAGGTAACTTCTTTAAATATGACACAGTCATCCGCAAATAAATTTACATGCACGTCACTAGGGAGTTTTTCCGAGATATCACTTATATAGATCAGGAATAGGAGTGGTCCCAGTACGCTGCCTTGCGGCACGCCCGAGGTTACATGGCGCGCAACGGACATGCGTTGCTTAATTTCTACGAACTGTTGCCTGTGCCGTAGGTACGCCTGGATCTATGATATAATGTTTGAAGGGAGACCAATGCACTCAAGCTTGTAGATTAATTTTCCATGAGGCACCCTATCGAAGGCTTTACTGAAATCGAAAAATAGAATGTCGAATTGTCCGAACGCGTCAAGTACCTCAGAGATAGTATGAACAGCTGACACAAGTTGAGTTGTAGTCGATGACCCCTTTCGAAATCCATGTGGTTGTTGAGAGAGGACCTTGTGACCACTCAAATACTGGCGAATAAAACCTGCTATAATGTGTTCTAATTTACTACAAGTACTTGTAATAGAAACTGGTCGATCATTAGAAACTGCAAGATAGTCTACCTTTTTATAAATTGGGACAACTGTAGCTTTGCGCCAGTCGGATGGAATATTCTCCAAGCGTAAACATAACTTGAAAAATTCTGTTAAAAAGACACAAATCAGTTCCATGTAACGTCGTAAAAAAACATTCGGTATCCCGTCAGGGCCTGCAGATTTAAGTACATCAAGATTAAGAAGCATTCCCATAACACCTTGCAGAGAAATTGTAATCTCGTGCACTACGGGTCTTGCATTGCTTAGTTCATAACAGTCTAATTCAGAAAACACACTCCAGAAGTAATCATTGAAATGTTCTGCAATTTCTTGGGGGTCTTCTATAATTGTACCATTATTGTTTACTTTTTGTGCGGCTTTTTTTTACTGGCCTAGGTAGAGGCAAACCTTTTGGGGAGAGTTTGTAATAAAATCAGAATGGCTATGATTGAAAAATCTATCTCGCGCCTTTTCCACTTTAGCCAGCAAATTATTTTTTATTTCTATGACCATTGGATTCTTGGATTGGAAACAGGGATATAACATTCAAGTACGAAACCAAACATATTAGTAGCAGTTGCTCCATTTAAGCAGCAATTTCATTTGAGAATTTCGTTTATTAGGAGTCTACTGTACAGTCGCCGACCGGTAAATCAGACACTGATAATTCGGACATGCTCGGTAATTCGAATAGTCGCGCGGCACCATTGATGGTCCAATAGAAGTAATGTGTAAAGACGACCCATATTTCGGACAGCTGCCAGATCTAAATTCGATAATTCGGACCCTACCCGACTGCCGCGCACGCCGAATCGGCAGCCATTACCTCCTCCGGCACTCAAACCATACAAAGTATGGCCTCAGAGATCAAAACGAAAGCTGATTGGTAATCTATGAGGCTTTATTTCGATCGCAACTTTATGCCTCAGAAATTTGTACTTGAAAATGCCGATCTTGGAGGCACCGCTCAGCTATGGGGGATTGTACCGACATCGCGATCATCCTACATTCCGGTTCCTGTATACCCTCGCCACCCTCGCTGTGCGGCACAGCTGTGCGTCCATCGCCGCCATACTGTCACATGTGTGTGCGGTACAGCGTTTTGCTGAATTCTGCGCGCGTTCATATTTATTTTGAAACTTGCTTTATTTTACGTCCAGCTGCCTCACACGATCTGAAGTGAAATGGCACCAACGGTGCCCTAACAGCCAGCGCCGAAGGCCGCTCCGATGAAACGTGGCAGATATACAACGCTAACCATGGCAAAGAAAGCAGCCACCATTCAGCAAGTGTTCAGTGGTCGTCCGCAAGTCGAAGTTGCTCAAGAGTTCAACATTTCGAAGCAAACCATATCGGACTACATGAAGAATAAGGACAAGATTTTAGGCGCGATGGAGACATCATCCGGAAGTGAACAAAAGAGGGTGCGCCAAGGTGTTCATCCGCAGTTGGAAGAAGCGATGAGCATTTGGCTTAACGCTACCGTCGCTCAACGGGTTCTCGTTTCTGGCCACCTCTTTAAGCAAAAGGCCGAGACATTGGCACTTCGCCTTGGCATTGATGGATGTAAGTTCAGTGATGGCTGGCTCCGGAACTTTAAAAAGCGGTACGACCTCGCTTTCAAAAAAATGTGCGGTGAGAGCGGTGCCGTGGATAGCACACTGGTAGCGAACTACCGCGGTGCAAAGTTGGCGAAGCTGCTTCGGCGCTACTCGGCTGACGACACCTTTAACCTCGATGAAACCGGGCTTTTCTATAAGCTACTACCGGAGAAGACACTCGCCCGTCCTGGAGAACCTTGCAACGGAGGTAAACTCAGCAAGGAACGAGTCACTGTCGTTGTCGGCTGCAATGCTTCTGGCACGGAAAAGCTCCTGCTGCTGATAATCGGGAAATCGAAAAACCCTCGATGTTTTAAGAGAAAAAAACCTGCCTGTCTGGTACGAAGCCAATACAAAGGCGTGGGTCACGCAGAAGCTGTTCGCAGAGCATGTCGGAAAATTGGACCGAAAGTTTGAATTTCAAAAGCGCAAGGTCCTTTTGTTCGTAGATAACTGTACTGCCCATGCGCCGATCAGCTGTCTGAAAGCCATCGAACTAGAATACCTGCCGCCAAATACGACCAGTATTCTGCAACCTATGGACCAAGAATTTGATCGTGCTGTATCGTTCACACATGCTGCAGCGCGTGCTGCTCTGCTTAGAGAGCCAGATAAAATACAATGTTGATTTGATGTCAGCCGTGAGCATGATTGCTGATGCCTGGATGGCAGTGTCGGCAGGCACGATGAGCAACTGTTTTCGGCACGCAGGATTTACGTTGCATAGTGAGCCCGACACCGCCAACACTCCAGCCGAAGAGCCCGACAATGCAACTGAAGAGCCGAACTTGCCGCACAGTGCATCGGGCACAGGTGCGGACGTTATCGACGACCTGCGAGGCTGCGGTGTGCCAATTCCCGACACTGTTACGTTTGAAGACTTTGCAAACGTCGACAGTGCAGTGTCGTCGTGTGCCGGATTGAATGACGACGACATAATTGAGCAGGTGCTGCAACCGTCAAACAGCGGTTATGACTCTGACGATGATGACGCGCCGTCTGCTCCGGAGCCGACGCATGCTGACCTGTCTCGAGCCCTGGCTGTTCTTTCGTCGTCGTACAGCGATCGTATCACACTGGCGGAAATACAGGTGGACTTGCGTGCACGTAAGCGGAAGTGCATGCAGCAAACATAAACGACTTTTTTCGGCCACCGGTAGACTGAAGTGTCAATAAAAGTATTTTTTTTTTTCTGACGCATTTGTTTTTTCGGACTTTCAATAATTCGGACTTATTTGCATTCCCCGTGGAGTCCGAATTATCGGTCGTCGACTGCATTGCCTTCGCTGCTTTGCTGAGTAGAATCCAATATTTGCTCAAACTGAAAGTTCCCTCGAAATGAGTCTAAACTATTGGGTATGCTTACGTCCCCTGAACTTTCACAGCATGACAACAGAGCAAACACAGATCGCAAAATGAGAAATATGTGTAGAACGTGACGCAGACTGCTCACAATCTTACCCATGACGGCTGATTGGCTTCGGACCAGCAGCATTGAAGAACTGGCGCCGGATCTGAACAAATTGCATGCTCTCCAGGTTTCTGCACGAATAACAAAATACGATACGAGCACTATTAGTAATCGGGAAGACAGAATAAGACCCACGTGCACAACTGCTATGCGAGAGCAGTCTGCCATACTTCCCCCCCCCCCCCAACACTAAAAAGTGAAGGCCCCTCACCTGCGCATCTGAGTGTTGAAAATTCTCAGCAGCTCTGGGTTGTGAGGGGCAAGCTCCTGGACATGCTTCACTGTGATGCGAATTTGCGCACCATCAGTGCGGCGCTGAGAGTACAGCTCTGTGACCTGAAATTTGGTTGGCAATGACACACATTGGCAACTCTCTCACACGTCCTTACGAGATTGCCTCGATCGTGAGAAACACTGAAGTAGAATTGAAATCTCTCGTAAAAAGAACTCCCAAAAAGCTTACATGTAAAAAGCTGTATGGCCACTGAAATACCAACACAGCATTTACTTGTTGCCAAAGAATGCGACTCGCAACTAGTACCTGCCAAAATTAAAATTCTTAAGTAAGGAAGGCAGTGCATTATTTAATGTTCCAAGCTCCCACCTTTATGGGATACATACCTATTTCAAGAACGAGGTTTGCCTTTAGATGCAGAGAACAGTGGAAGCTAAACTGTACAGCACAATCTTGCAAGCAATACACAAAGGCGAACAACATTTGACTAATCAAGCCTGGCTGGAGAACAAATCTACAATCTGGAAAGTCTACGCATATTTTTTTCTCGATACGGCGTTGCTCAAGCTCGGCAAGCTTTCTGAGAGCATCAGAGGTAAGGTCGGAAGCCAATGAATGAAGTTTTAGCAAATACATAATCTGGGTTTTCAAAAAGACACACTAAACGTTTACAATAATATAATCCAAATTTGCAAGTTACACCGATAATCATAAAACTAATGCAGCTTGGCTCACCACTTCCCGTGAGAGAAAAATTGTATACTCCCATATGCACTATGCTGGCCATTATAAACAAAGTGCGACAGGAGAGGAGTATCATGCGTGGGCAAACTTTACAATCTTACCTTATGCTCCAGCCGAGTGGCGCTTTTCAAATCGGACATCCCATCAAAGATGTAGCTACCACCAAATCGGTCCCGATGGTCGCGCAGGAGAGCACTTCGCAGACGAGATGACTCAATGTTTGGCGCAAACTCGACGTGGTACTGCTGGATGGCCCAGTTGGGCATTGTGAGCAGACGAAAGTAGTTGGACAACAATTTGACAGGGTTTCCAGTCGTACCTGAAAACAATTGGAAACATTCCAATTCGATTTTTTAACAACAGACAGTTGGGCAAGTTCGCAACGATCCATGATGGTACTTTAAGCACATAACATGCAAAATGCACACGGCTGCTCGTCTTGGGTACATCTTGTGTATTTTGCGCTTCAGAGTACCATCACAGAATATCAGCATTGCCACCGAACTTCAGCGAAACGACCTCTCGTTGCACATCAGAGAGGTGTCATGCATGCATGGGCTGCAACTTCAAGATGTGGAAGGAACAACTGAAACGAGCAGGGTAACCCCGCTCCGTATAGACAGCTTTTGTGAGGACTTGCTGAAGGCACTTCAGGAGTGTACTCAGTTAGCGACCTCAGAATAAAAAAGAAATTTATTTTTGATGTCCCTGAGAAAAATAAAATCAAATTTTAGTGAACAAAAGTTGCTTCACAGCAATGCTTCAAAGTCATACAGAAAAGCTAGCTTTGCATACGTATGATGGGATTATTTATAGACCTTTCACACAAATTATTGCTGAAAGTCCTGTCTGTACACGAGAAAATGCAAAATATACACTCAAACATCGTTATGATGTAATGATATATAACGAAATAATAGGATATAATGATGTAAATGATATTCCCTTTCAAAGATCTATTGAGAACCAAGCATTTTAAACCCCATAACAAAACGAACTAAATTAGTATATCAAATAGTCTTATATAAAAAAAACGACTGCAGTGGGTTAAGTATATCGTTTTTTGCGGAGTTTGACGCTCGTTCGGTGTGGCTCTCTCAAAACTACCGCGGCAACTTTACAGCCAGGCATCGTGCTGCCGAGAGAGCCGTCCTCCTCACAGAGCCAGCGGAGAGGATAGAGGAAGCGCTCAGCGGGTCACATGACCGAGAAACAACGCCGCGGTGAAAAGCGAATTCCCTCTCGCTTGGCAACGACAGCGTCTCTCTCTGCTGCTACCCTCTGCAACGAGAAAGGAGGACACTCCACGACAGCTTTTTTCCCCCTCTCTTTCTCTGCGTGCGGCCTTGAAAGGAGAAGGGTATCTACGTGCAGAGACGAAAAAGGGCAAAGCGTGGCACAAGCGTGTCGCAGATCCCACACCCACACTTTGTCTCCGGGGTTGTACTGTACGTCTCTCCGCTTGACATTAGAGCGACTTGCGTCAGGAGCTTTATTGCAAAATGATACGATGTCTTGCCAATTGCCATGCCTCTTCTGCCCTTTCTATGAAGTCGCTGATGTGCTGGTCACTCTCATTCGAATCGTTGACAGGTAACATCACGTCTAAGGTCGTTGTGACTGCCCGACTATAAACAAGTTGAAATGGCGTGAAGTGAGTCGTTTCTTGTACTGCGGTATTGTACGCAAATATTGCATAAGGCAAAATACAGTCCCATGCCTGGTGCTCAACGTCTACATACATCGACATCATGTCAGTGAGGGTTCCGTTGAGTCTTTTGGTTAATCCGTTTGTTTGCGGATGGTATGCTGTAGTCCTATGGTCGGTGTGCGTGAGCTTCATAACACACTGCATCAAACGGGCAGTAAATGCTGTTCCTTTGTCTCTTATGACAACCTGCGGTGCGCCATGCCTTGTACAATCTGAGTGACGAAAAACTGGGCTGCTTCATTCGCCGTTCCTTTTGCGAGAGGTGATGTCTCCGCATATCGAGTAATGTAGTCTGTTGCTACAACAATCCAGCGCTTTCCCGGTGAAGAGAGAGGAAATGGACCAAGGAAATCCATTTCCACTTGCTGAAATGACCCTTTTGGTGGCTCTATCGGTTGCAACAGAGCCGCTGGTTTCGATGGTGGTATTTTGCGTCTTTGGCAATCCCGGCATGACTTGACATAAATGGTGCACCGAATCCCTTAATTTTGGCCAATAATACTTGCGGCGAATTCTGGCCAAAGTGTGACTACTACCCATATGGCCAGCCGATGGGTCGTCATGACACGCTTCTAAGATTTCTGCTCGCAGTGATGATGGTGCAAGAAGCAGAAACGTCTCACCGCTGTTTCCGAAGTTGCGCTTGTATAGGACGTCGTTCCGGAGGACATAGGATGTTAATCCACGGACGAAAACTCCTGGTACCTTAATTTGGTGACCCTCCAAGTATTGGATGAGCGGGCGTAGTTCCGGGTCTATTCGCTAAGACGAGCCATCTCCGACACATTCAGAACTCCAAGAAATGGGATGTCTTGTTCTTGGTCAGACGATGAAGACTCAACAGGTGCGCGAGACAGGCAATCCGCGTCATTGTGCTTGAGACCGGACTTGTAGACCACAGTGATGTCATGTTCCTGCAGACGCAGGCTCCATCTAGCAAGTCTTCCGGAAGGGTCCTTGATATTTGCCAGCCGACACAATGAATGGTGATCACCGATTGCTCGAAACGGTCTCCCGTAGAGGTATGGGCAAAACTTGTTGATGGCCCATATAACTGCGAGACACTCTTTCTCTGTTGCTGAGTAATTGGACTCTGCATTCGATAGTGTGCGGCTCGCGTAAGCGATGACCTTTTCTTCTCCATTTTGCCACCGAACACTCCATTTTTCCACTGAACGTGGATGGCACCAAGACCAACGTTACTCGCATCGGTATGTATGTCTGTATCAGCCTCTTCATCAAAATGGGCAAGTATTGGAGGAGAGTGCAAACGGCGTCGCAACTCTGAGAAAGCTGCTTCTTGTTCTTCCCGCCAAGAGAATGCTACACTTTTTTTTCGTTAGCCATGTCAAAGGCTCAGCGACCTTAACAAAGTTTTCAACAAAGCATCTGTAGTAGGCACATAGTCCCAGGAATCGTCTGACAGCCTTTTTGTCTTGCGGTTTCGGAAAATTTTCACCTGCTGCAATCTTTTCCGGGTCCGGGCGGACGCCTTCCGCACTATGTGACCGACGAACCGAAGCTGACAAAATCCCAAGTGACACTTTTCCGGTTTGATGGTCGACGCTGCCTCGCGAATAGCATCCAGTATTGTTCTCAGTCGGTGGATGTGCTGCTCGAAGGTAGAAGAAAAAAACTACTACAGCGTCGAGGCAGACGAGACATGATTGCCACTTGAATCCAAAGAGCACAGTGTCCATGATCCTCTGGAAGATAGCAGGAGCAGAGCACAAACCGAAAGGGAGCACTTTGAACTCGTATAGCACGTCTGGGGTCACAAACGCCGTCTACTCGCGATCTCGTTCATCAACCTCGATCTGCCAATATCCACTTTTTAAGTCCAATGATGAAAAGAAGTGAGCATTGCGTAACTTATCCAAGGCATCATCGATCCGCGGAAGTGGGTAAACATCACGCTTTGCGACTTGGTTCAGCTTTCTAAAGTCAACGCGAAATCGCAGAGTGTTGTCCTTTTTGACTAGCACTACTGGCGATGCCCACGGACTGTTGGATGGCTGGATTATGTCATCGTTGAGCATTTCCTGCACTTGGTTCTTGATCACTTCCCTTTCTTGTGGCGCTACTCGGTATGGGCGCTGATGCAAAGGTCTCACGTGTTCTTCGACCACGGTGCGGTGTTTTGCGACAAGAGTACGTCCGACTTTCGACGAGATCGAGAAGCACTCTGCAAACTCTGATGAGGTCAGTAATTTGTTGTTTCTGAGATGACAAGAGCTTTCTGTCAATGTCTACTGATTGGAGTACGTTATCTACTGTCTCTGAAGCTTTATCAAGAGTGCAAACATCTGAGACTTGCACATACTCATGCGGCGATGCTACGGACGTTCCTTTCGCTATATGCTGCAGCTCATTTCCAAAGTTAGTTAATAGGACATACGCACATCCATCATGAAGGCTCACCAGGCCTCTTGCCACGCATAGTCCTTTTTCTAGTAGCATCCGTCAGTCACGGAGAACTTCACTCCTCACAAGAACAGTCACATTGGAACGTGGCGGCACGGTTACGTCTTTGTCCACAATGCGGAGAGGTAGAACGATTGGTTTCTCCGCATGACAGATGGCAACGGCATTCTCTGTAGAAAACGAAACCTGGGACTCTTGCAAGTCGATGACTGCATTGTTTATTTGCCAGAAGTCCATGCCTATAATCAGTTCACAGGAGCATTCAGGAAGCACTGTAAAGCTGCCGACATACACGAATGCTCTTATTCCTATCCTTGCAGTGCACAACCCCACGGGACTAACTAAGTGCCCTCCAGCGGTACGTATCTGAGGGCCGGTCCATTCAGTCATCACTTTCTTCAGCTTCTTTGCGAGAGCATGACTGACAACGGAATAGTCTGCACCAGTGTCTATTAGAGCAATGGCCTCGACATCGTCGATCGTGACTAATATCTACGAGGTTACGTCACTACTATTGCACTTGTCCGTCATTGCGTAACTGCGGCCGTCCTGTCGGGCTAACAATAGAGGGTCTTCAGTTGTCACTACATAGAGGCCTCACCTACAGAAGTCACTGGCTCTAGTTTTCCCGCCGCGGGCTAGGTGAACGTGGTCTTCGGAGATTTGGTGACGGACGAGGACTCGACGACCGATAGCGCATCGGTGCTGTCGAACGTGACTCCCGTAGTTGCGTGTCTTGAGGTGAATAGCGTGAAGACAAGTACTCTTCGATTTCGTAGGGCCGTTCACTGTTCCGTGGGCACGGTGCATTGACTGGAAAACCACGCAGTCCCGCTCGACGATACTGGCACGCCCTGTAAAGGTGACCTGCTTCTCCGCAGTGGTAGCGGAGGGGCCACCGGTCTACAGTGCGCCATACATCACTCTTGCGTGGTCTTGCTTCTGGCATTGGCAGCGGCGAACTCGGAGAAAATGTCGGAGGCATCACAGCAGTCGTAGCCCTCCGATTCATGCGTCCGAGGTCCTGTCGTACTACATGCACGTACGACAACTGAGGTGGAGGCTCCGGTTGTGCGCGCTGTAGTACCCGAGGTTGTGGTTGAAGAACCGCTTGCCGCACTTCTTCACGCACAACGTCGGCAAGTGAGGACATCGCTGGATGACCTTGAGTCATTTGTATTTTC